TCCTGGACATCTTTATTCACTTCCTTTTAGTAATGCCTCATCTAACCTCAATCTAGAAGTACTAAACTGAGCTGAGGACTTACTATTAACACTAATATCGTCACGTTTATCATCATTAAAATCAGACATACTACAGACAGCTTTAGAATCTTTAACATCCATCTCGTCATTTTCCTTCGGCTTTTTGCTTCTGGTTTCCATTGTGTGCCTTTGTTCGAAAATCGGTTACCAAGCAAATGCGAATTAATCCAGACGAATTCGACCAATAATACCAAAAATTGGACCCAAGATATCCAGACGTATCCTTTGTATGACAACAGATTGAAATTGAAGAACTTTTGTTACGTCCAATTTGGCTCCATCCCGTTATTGAAGTACAGTATGTCGATCTATTTGCGATTCATGAACCCAAATTAACCAAGTTGGGTCAGGAAACCAGGAGCACCCATGATAATCAAGTTCAGGATCATACGTATGCCGGACATAGTCGGAATCAGAATTTCGACCAGGTACATTGACAGGAGTTTAGGTGATCAAGCCAGCTATTGCCAAGTTTGAGTGTAGTAGATGGTACCCGAAGGGCGATGGTCGGAGGTGTAAGCTCGAGCGTGATGTAGATGTAGCATCTCACCATTCATTCACTGTACTTCATTGATCCGTCCTTTGAATTATTCGATAATTGTATCGACCACTTTTTTGAATTTGTAATAATTCGATTACAGTATCGATCACTGTATATTTGATCGTCTGTGGATGCTTACTCGCTCATCTAATGTCTAGCTTATTACTGCCTGTCATTGCTTTAACACTGGAGAGTCGGTTCACCCGCCCTTTCCTATTCTCTTCGCTTTGCTTGTACGCTTTCCATTCTTATGTCTGTCTGCATAGAGGAATGCATGAAATAGATTAATCCGCAACATCGTATTTGGCTTCTTACTACCGTCGTCCCACAAACAGGGTTTGCCTAAGTATGATTTACGGAAACGAACAGGAAGATTTATTTCATTGCATACTCGATTATTCATCCATACTGGAATCCAGTTGTGAGCCGCTAACCGGGATACCGCTAAAGGGTTGTATGGGTCTAGCACTGGGTCTCGACTTTTTGAGTATGGCACTGTCATAGACGCGCGCTGGTTTCAGAAGAACATTGCTAACCATGTCGATCGACCGTCAAGGTCTTTTCGTCAGGGGAAATCAAGTGAAAAGGCCCTTCGTAAGGCTATTGCAAAGGTTTACTTACCGAAACATATGCTGTGCCGCTTACAAGTTCAGCGGTGGAACAGGGGATATCTGCCTTTAATCGGTACGACAGAAACTTCGGCACCTCTGTCAACTAGGTACCCAGCACTAGTGCAGTAATATTGTACATAAAATAACGACGAAATTGGGGTGAAAGGCCGGCGAGTAGTTCCTCATTTACGTGCCGGCATGGCGATTTCCTGCCTTGAATCAGCATGGAGCTAGACAACGACGGGCATCGGGCATGAAGGTACTGTGTAACAAGCAAAAACCAGTGCTTCATTCTGCAGCTGTTTTTTGGAGTGGCTTGGAGGTTTGGCGGGTGATAAAGGGTCTAAGTCACATTCTGTAACTTCAAAATGATTTACAGAAATTGTATAAATGGTCCAGAATTGCGAAGGTGCCGATAGCCTCCTCTAAGAGCCTCATGATCAATAATGGTTACCAAGGCACAGATAAATGCATGGCGAATAACACAGCAACCTGTTATTCAGACACACAAAGAACTAGATACTGACATTACCCAAGACCTGTAAAGTACTGAACATTGCCGTGCGATAGCCACCAAAAGGTTTAGAACCATATAGTCTGTACGTACAGCCTATAGCCATGTCAATGCTAAGACATGTTTGACTCTGTATAGAGTATTAGTCGGTCTTAAGCTTTAGCGCTGCATATGGGCCACAAGCGCTTGCCTAACGAGAGAATGTGAGCTGTAAAAAAAGGTTCGAAGAATAGCAACTTAGTTGATTCCCGGAATCGCAAAGCTGCCATATGGAGAGTGGTTAAACTGAACCCATGTTGACTGTATAAGAGAAACAGAGGTGACATAATGATAGTTTTTAAATTACTTGATGATAAGCCTGAATCTGTTTTGCCTTCATTTTTCTTTTTTACAAAAGAGAGAGTTTGCTAAGACTCTAGGAGTGTTTGAAATCCCGGAACAAATTACCTGTCAGCTGACGACCAACCTCATAAAATCTATTACGAATGGAACTGGTTGCTCCGACACGTGACTGTAGCTCAATCTATAGAAAATTCGGGAGAAAGCTGGATCAGCTGCGAGATCTAAATAGCTAGGACCAGCACAGGCCATTCATCTTCTCTCCCCTTCCAAAATGGAAATGTAAGTTAATGTTTAGTCCCCTAGAGCTAAGTGAATACATTCTCTGGAACCGTCCATCAGAAAAAGACGAGAATCAATCCATTAGTGCTATTTCGAAGAAAGGGTATTCGAATTGGACAACCTAATACCTGGAATTGTACAGAAAGAACACGAATAGAGCGCTAAGAAATCAACTAGTTAAACTACTCGTGAAAAAGATATTACATTAGATATTGGATATCGGACCTAGTAAACGCTGTCGTAGACAACGTACCTCAATCACACCCAAAACGCCAGAACAGAAGAACCTGGGTTAGGCGCGGCACGGAACGCTTGCTACAGGCGAAGAGGAAAGCCTGGCACAAGTGGAAGGTCTCCTTGAAGGATTCCGATCGCAGTTCTTACTTGGCATTGAGAAACAGATGCAATACCAAAGTTCGAAGCGACAGGAGACAATTCAGGACGATACTAGCCGCCAGAATAGAGGCAAACCCAAAACATCTGTTTAGGTTCATGTCCAAAAGAAAACCTACTAATTAAGGGTTGTGCCCCCTAAAAGGGCCTAACGGAGAAGATCTCACCAACCTAGAGATGGATGAGATCTTCAACACCAATTTTTCTGATCAATTAAACCAGGCGCCTACATGTTCAGAGTACTACGCCAACCCATTGCCAGCTGACGGCTTAGGGAACATCCGTATCACTCCTGACTTAGTACTAAGGAAACTAAAATCCTTACGCCCAGGTAAGTCACCAGGTTGTGACAACATCCGCCCTATAGTCTTGCAACAGTGCGCTGAAGCCCTCTGTTCACCGTTATGCAACCTGTTCAGGCATTCACTGGAGTCACACCAATTCCCAGCGGAATGGAAACAAGCTACTCTCTCTCCAATCTTCAAAGGAGGAGATAGAAAGGACCCAGCCTGTTACAGACCAGTCGCACTACTACCTATATTATCAAAGGTTATGGAAGGGCTAGTGGACGAACAAATGAGGGAGTACATGGATAAGAATAAAATACTCCATGAAGCTCAACACGGGTTTCGGAAAGGCAGGTCGTGTGCATCTAATCTTCTCATCGCATGGGACAGTTGGACATCCTGCTTGGACCGTAAAATACCAGTGCACGTAGTATTTCTCGACTTCGCAAAAGCCTTTGACACAGTGCCCCACGCACGCCTAATCGAAAAGGTTGTGGAAATGGGCTTCACTGACCCACTCGTATCTTGGCTCAGAAACTACCTTGAGAATAGAAAGTTTCGCACCAAGGTAAACAGGGTGCACGCGAGTTGGAGAGTATCCACTTCAGGAGTTTCACAGGGGACCATCCTAGGCCCACTCCTCTTCCTGATATTCATTAACGACCTGCTAAGCTTAGTTAGCTCACCGGCACTGATCTACGCAGACGATGCGAAGATCTGGAGGTCCATTAGAAGCGAAGAGGATTCGACTGAGCTTCAAAAGGACCTTACATCCATTGAGAAATGGGCAGTGAAAAACGGTTTAAAACTCAACCAACCGAAGTGCCACGTCATGCATTTCCTGCCTCATATGACGCAAACCACCTACACTCTCAATGGAAGTCCGCTCCCTAATGTCTCCTCAGAGCGCGATCTTGGTTTAATAACCACAGAAAGCCTCCACACGAGTCCGAACTATGTAGGGGATGCAGCCAAGGCAAATGCGACTCTTCACTTTATGCGAAGACAGCTTGGTGCTATAACCCCGAAATTATTTTTAACCCTCTTTAAGACGTACGCGCGCCCACACTTGGAGGTTCACAACGTCATCGCACCCCCTCTGCTTAAAAGAGACATTAATCTCTTGGATCGAGTGCAGAGACGAGCAACCAAATGGGTGATAGGGTTGAAAAATAAACCCTACGACGATAGACTCCAGCTCTTGGGATTATTCCCACTGAGCTACAGGAGAATCAGAGGTGACCTGATTATGGCGTACACCATATTAAACACGCCAAACCATCCCAATGTGAGCATCTTACCGATGCATCACCACCACTCCCCTCGAGGCAATCCTCAAAAGATTGCACATCAAAGAGCAAACACTCAGATTCGTGCACACTTTTTCTCATTGCGAGTCGTCGCAAATTGGAATGCTCTCCCAGCCGAGGTAACCACAGCCCCCTCAGTGGACTGCTTTAAGAAGAGACTTGATAATCACGTACTCACATACGGACTATCATCTCCCTCTTGGACAAGTTGTGCCTGATGCATATCTTGAGACCTGCTAGTTGTTACCATTGCCATCTCCTCAGATCACTTAATTAATCTATCTCGCATATTCCTCTTCCTTGCTTACACTTCGGTCCTCTCTCACAATCTTCACTACCAATTAATAAACTAAATTCATCTAGATATTACTCAGTTCTGAAATTTTACTCATATTATCATTTTAATTTACCCTTATTACCCTTATTACTCTCCACATTGCAACTAACTGATCTCCGGTTTGGTAATGTGACGGCTGCTAGTATCCAGAAACCCTACTGCCCTGAAACAAACGTTTCATTCAAATCCCGAGACATACAAACTCACAACCAACTGCCAACTGACTAGAATCAGACAGTCGAGTGGCTAGACCTCCATCCATTGGACATTACCGAACACCTGGAAGAGTACCGAAAGAACAAGAATCGAGCGCGAAGAAATCAAATTGGTTTACACTAGCTCGTGAAAAAGATATTGGATATTGAACTAAGCTGTGCTCCAGTCAATGTTTACGTTACGAAAGCATTTTCTGCACTGCTTCAATAGCAGTTATCATATACAAAGTCGACATAGTCGACAATGTTCTCAAAAGTAAGGAAGTATTTCTTTCCATAATCTGCAGAGCAAAAACTGGCATAATGTTACTAAATATGGGTGGACCGGAAACAACAAAAGAAGTACAAAATTTCCTAACCCGTCTATTCTCTGACAAAGAGATTATCCGTATGCCGTTTCAAGAGTATTTCAGAATGTTTAGTTACAATTCAGTGTTTTAGCTCGTTTCGTAGCGTGGAGAAGATCGCCCAAGATAGAGCAACAGTATTCTCAAATCGGCGGTGGGTCTCCAATTCTCTATTGGACCAAACTACAAGGTGAAATGATGATAAAACACTTAGATGCTATTAGCCCAGAAACAGGTAAAACAACGCTGTAAACTTTATGTCCCTTCAACTAGCCCCTCATCGATTCTACGTCGCATTTCGTTATGTCCATCCTCTTGTGGAATCCTGCGTTAATGAAATGGAAAGGTATTTTAATCTAACTTATTTTACTCCATTTTAGAGATGGCGTAGAGCGTGTAGTTGCATTTAGCCAGTATCCACAGTACAGCTGCACTACTTCCGGCAGCAGTTTAAATGCCATTGTTCGTCATTACGAGAGTAAGGAAAAAATATTCAATGGAGTGGAGAGTATTGAGCTTCCGTCTGTACAGAAAAATAAACCTGGAGCCATCTGGTCATTCATTGACAGATGGCCAGTTTATCCCCCGTTGATTAACACGTTCGCGAAAAAAATTCTTGAAGAACTTCAAAGCATTGAAGATGAGAAAGAGCGTGCGAATACCGTTCTAATTTTCAGTGCTCACTCAATTCCATTATCTGTCGTTAATCGTGGTGATTCCTATCCTCAGGTGGGTTTTGTGTATTTCTGGTTTGTAAGTGCTTAACATTACAAGCTCACCAAACAGTAAAATATTTCAGCACATACATCTTATTCGTAACGGACATCGTTCACACTGTCAAAATAAGCCAACATAACTTAAAATGTTTTACTTTCTACGATAGTAATTTCAGGTGTCACTGATAAATCATGTTTTAGCCTACTGTTAAGATATCGGGCTTTTAAAGGTAAAAAATCAATTTAGAAATTCTACTCTACTTGAGTATAATTCCTCATTCAATTAGGGAGGCCTAAATAATCAAAGTTTGTGTATATCTGTTTAAAATAGTTCATTTAAGAATATTAAGCATTTTCAGATTTCGTTTGTTAACCTCTTTCAGGAAGTAGGTGCTACCGTCCATGCGATCATGAAACAACTCAAGTTTTCATGGCCTTATCGTCTCACGTGGCAATCTAAAGTTGGTCCAGCTGCTTGGTTAGGTCCATCAACAATAGATACCCTGTATGGGTTAAGTCGTTTGGGATATCGACATGCACTTTTAATTCCTGTTGCATTTACCCTAGATCATATTGAAACCCTCTATGAAATGGACATAGAATATTGCACAGAAGTAGCGGCTAAAGCCGGTATGGTTTCTGTACGCAGATCAAAATCATTGAATGGTGACCCTACTTTCAGTCAAGTAAGTAAGGTTTATTAATGTTCACATAGTAAATTGACTGTTGTCATTTTTCCGATTTCATCTTGTTTGAGTGGATAATAAGTAACATAAGTATCCAACGTGATGTAGATGATAACTTGGCTTAATGTACAGAATATAATTATTCACAACTGGGTGGGTTGTGTAATTTCTAGGAATTCTGTTCAAGAAATCATTTAGTTATCGTAATCGAAATGTTTTGTGTTGTCGCAACAAAATAAGTTCATACCTCACCTCACTGGTTCAACTCCAGAAGAAAGAACGTGGACGTTTCCCATACGTCAGTTAATACAAATAGTTATGTCGTTCAAGCTACCCAGCTATGGTCAAAAGTGGGGTAGGGTCTTCCCTCCCTCTCAAAATGCCCTTATATGGCAACGCATATATAGCCACTGGCAAGGAAGTTCTACTCGCTACCCTCTAATGGCAGGGATGGTGTTCAAAAAATCGAGAAGACAAAAAGTCAGTGCCTGTCCCTTCAACCGGGTTTGTGGGTACAATGAATCCACCTAAGGATGTTAGAAAACGCTGGTTCCAAACCGATTGTGCACATGAGCTCCAGGGCTCAGAAGGAACAAATGGCGTATGAAATTGTTGTTGGCTACCGGCTATCATGGGACTGCATCTCGTAACTTCCCTCTTTTACGTTTTGGATTACACTTCTAGGTCAAAGAATCAGGAAGCGACGGCCTGAAAAACCACCTTCAGTTTGGCACCCGGACAGTATTTTAGCCCAATCACAAATTAATTGATTTGTGTGGCGCACAGATACTTAGGTGGTTAGAATTAGAGAGAACACAAAGAGTGGATGCACTTGCGCTATTGCAAACGATTTTAAGCCATGTCGTTCACGGTATCTAATCATTGGTGACTTACGTCTCGTGGACCCCAACCAGGTAGTCTACATCTACCAACATAACTCAGTCCACTTGTCAGTGACTTCACGGATTTGTGCCATGTTTTGGTTTGGCCGCCCTTAGCTTTCTTCCAACCTACTTCTACACCACAATACATAGCTCGTCGAGGCAGTCGGTGGTTAGGCATTCGTAACACATGTCCCAACCACCTCAACTGATGAATTTTCACTACTTCATCTGTTGATTTGCCTAACCACCGACTGCCTCGACGAGCTATGTTTTGTGGTGTAGGAGTAGGTTGGAAGAAAGTTAGGGGCGGCCAGACCAAAACATGGCACAAATCCATGAAGTCACTGACAAGTGGACTAAGTCATGTTGGTAGATGTAGACTACCTGGTTGGGGTCCGCGAGACGAAAGTCATCAATGGTTAGAGACCTTGAACGACATGGCTCAAAATCGTTTGCAATGGCGCAAGTGCATCCACTCTTTGAGCTCTCTCAAATCCTAATCTTCTGGATTTGCCAGCACCTCTACTTTTGTCTTTCTAACCTTATCTCACTGAATTATATTTTTTGAATAATATCTTCAAACCCTAGTCTTCTTTATTAACAATAATACCTCTACTATCTTTATCACTATGGGATTTCATTTGACATTTGCGTTTCTGTGCTAATAATGTGGTATGGCAACATGAACTTATGTACATACGTACGAAGTTCTACGTTGCAACTGACTGACTGACTGACCTATCTAGAACTCGTTTCCTAACGACAGCATCGCTCACTCGGTTGTCCCAGGATACACGAGCAATGCTTCGGAGACACCGATGATCGAATACTAGAACCCCACGAACATCTACTCTTAACGGCCATGTTTCGCATCCGTACAGTAGGACGGAGCGAACTGCTGTACAGTACACTCGTCCTTTGGTTAGCAAGCGGATATCTCACCTGCGACATAGGTGACACAAGTTGGCAAAAGCCAATCGAGCTTTCTGTATCCGTGGTGAAATTTCGTCAGTCATCAGGCTATCAGCACTGATGAGACTCCTGAGATAAGTGGAGCGGTCTACACGTCCGACTACTTCACTCCCTATCACCAGTTTAGGTGCCGATGTAACCCAATCCTGAAGCAGTATTTTGCATTTCGAGGGGGAAAACCGCATCCCGAACATGTTTGCATTGTTGCTCAGGGGTCAATCTATCAGGTCCTGCTGCTTTCCCTCGCTTCAGATTTCCTATAGCCTTTTCAACTTCATAAAGTCGGAGGACTTATATCGATATTCCATTCAGGATGACTGGGGATCGTGGGTAACCGAAGTGTGTCTGAAGGCCAGTTGAACTGGTCCCTAAAGTGTTCTGCCCATCGATGCAACCTCCTGGATTAAGAATGAATAATATTCCCATCCTTTTCCGAGATATTTTCGCATTCGGATTCCTAATACTGGTTTCCTTGATAAGGCGGAACAACTGTCTGCTGTTGCCTATTGCCACTGCCTTTTCTATTTTATTTTCTTTCGCCATCCATTACTGTTCGCGGTCATTGCGTCGGCTTTTTATCAGCCTGCGCCTAAGCTAACTCTGCTCCTCATCGCACTCCGAGCCAGGCGGGATGAATTTATGAGCATCCATCAGTTCGGTAGATGCTACTGACATTCACGGCTTCTTCCTAGACCTATGGTTTACCTTACTAGCAGATATCGCTGCCGTTTCCACAGCCCTCTTGATATCATTCCAACCTGCCTCCGGATGGGAATCACTTAGATGGTCGCCTAACTGTCTTTTTAGTTAGTGAAGCGGTCTACACGTCCGACTACTTCACTCCCTATCACTAGTTTAGGTGCCGATGTAACCCAATCCTGAAGCAACATTTTGCATTTCGAGGGGTATAGTCGCATCTCGAACATGCTTTCATTGTTGCTTAGGGTAGGCAGAAGACTGCATTTGTCAGCGTCTTCACCGAATAGAACTATGTCATCGGCATATTCTAGATCAGTAAGCGACTTTCTCGGTAGAAAATCGACTCCTGAAAATTCAGACGAGGATAAGGTCACATCTAGCATTATGTCTATGACAACAGTAAACAAGAATGGAGAAAGTGGACATCCCTGACGAACACCACTTGAAGTGAGGAATTCCGGTGACAGTTCGCCATAAGCTCTCACTCGACCAGTGGTGTTCGAGTAAAGAGCTTGTATAAGGTTAATGTACTTCTTTGGTACACCTTTCAATGACAGACACTGCCACAGAACCTTACGATCAACAGAGTCAAATGCCGCCTTAAGGTCTAGGAAAACAACTATTGTAGGACGCCTAAATGTGTAGTGTGAAGATGTGGTCTATACAACCACGTCCAGGTCTGAAACCAGACTGGTTTTCTCGAGTCTGCTCTTCACGAGCTCTAGTTAGACGTCTAAGTATAATCGAGGCTAACAATTTAGAAACCATATTAGTTAAACTTATTCCCCTGTGATTGTCACAAGAGGACTTTTGTCCTTTCTTGTAGATTGCGACAATTAGCGACTGAGACCAGTCAGATGGGATTACGTCCAGTTCCCAGATTCTACCTAGGATCTCGGTCAGCCTAACTGTTAAAACTGGACCACCATCCTTAAACATCTCAGGAGTAAGTCTATCAGGACCTGCAGCTCGCTCTCGCTTCAGATTTACTAACGCTTTTTCAACTTCATTAAGACTAGGGGGACTTACGTCGATTTTCCATTCAGGATGACTGGAGATCGTGGGTAACCGAAGAGTGGCTCGAGGCCAGTTGAACTGATCCCTAAAGTGTTCTGCCCATCGATCCGGTCTCCTGCATTGAGAATAAATAATAGTCCCATCCTTTTCCGAGATAGTCTCACACTAGGATTCCTAATACTAGTTTCCTTGATAAGTCGGAAAAGTTGTCTACTGTTGCCGATTGCCGCTGCCTTTTCCATCGCTTTTGCTTTCGCCACCCACCAGGCTTTTTATCAGCCTGCGCTTAAGCTGACTTCGTTCTTCATCATGTTTAGACCCAGGTGGGATGAGTTTTCGGGCATCCATTAAATCGGTGGGTGCTACAGAGATCCATGGCTTCATTGTAGCCTCATGGTTAACCTTACTAGCAGATATCACTGCCGTTTCCACAGCCTTCTGGATATCATCCCAACCTGCCTCCGGATGGGAATCACTTCCATGGTCGCCCAAGTGTCTTTCTAGTTGTTCCTGAAATATATTCTTTGTCCTATTATCATTAAGTAAAACCCTGAGAGGTTTCCTTGCGGTGTCTTTCCTACGTCCAGTAAGTCGCAAACTAATACGTGCTCTCACTAGAGCATGATCTGAATCTAAACATGTGCCCCAGAACGAGCGACAGTCTTCTATCGAACCCCTTCATCAGTGGCTGATGGCGATGTGATCTAGTTGGGTCCAACGTTGAGACGACTTTGGAGGTCGCCAGGTCAACAGATGCTTTTCCTTATGCCTAAAGTTAGTGTTTGCTAAGAATAGGCGGTTGTCTGAGCATAGTTGCAACAGACGGTCACCATTGTCTGTTCTCTGAGCCGCGACACCATAACATCCACCTAGGTGTCTCTCCTGCTCACTTAGTCTCCCTACTTGAGCATTAAAGTCACCAGCCATTAATACTATATCAGAGCGCTTAGCTTTTTGGAGGAGGTCCGAGAGCTTTCTGTAAAACTCATCTTTAACCTCGTCCGAACTGCAGTCAGTGGGGGCATAGGCAGATACGACGAAGAGGCAACGGCGAGTGTCCTTATCTTTACGAGCCCTTACTGTCCCGTTAAGTCGGACAGCGCACAAGCGACTATCTACCGGGATCCAGTCAAGGAGAGCTAGTTCTGCCCTACGACTCAATACTATACCTACACCAGCAAGACCTCGGGAAGCAGCATCAGGGCTTCCAGATACACGAAGAGTAAATCGAGCTGCTTCTTTATTTTGACAATGTGAAATCAGATTAATAATTTTACTAGGATCCTGTATGCGCGTTTCCGAGACGCAGCACACATCGATTGAGCGAGATTCTAGAGTCCTAGCTAATGATGCCTGTTGCCATATTTGATACAGTGCCCGTACATTAAGTGCTCCAACATGTAGTATAGAATGAGGTTTCAAGAGACCAGGAATGACGTTTCGTGAACTCGCATCGTTTGCACTAGCGGTGCAGTCAGATAAGGGAATGTGAGTAGAGTTAGTTGTGGAGAGAAGAAAGGTATGTGTGGGTGTAGGAAGGATTTGATTTTGACCAATTTGATCTCGTGTGCTGTTACTGGTATGAGGGCGGTTGTCACTTCCCGGCTGCCCACACCGTGGAAGGTTGTTTCTTGAGGGACCTGAAAGAGAAGGTAGATTGGTGTTGGTCTTAGCGACCTGGGAGCGTGACCGCAGAGTCCAAGGGACAACTGCTTGAGGCCGGTCACGCACGCCCTTTTGATGAAAGGTTTTTTGAGTATTAGCTCCGCTCTTTTTAAAAGCCCTTATTGGGCAACCCTTACCACCGGAGACGGAAATCCGTGAGGTAATGTGAGGCGTGACATTTTAGGGTCGACCTTCTCTAACCCTCCCTTGCTTGTGAGAAGGCAGTATCGCCGCAGATGCTGGTTGTCCGAGAGAAACACCGTACTGCTTTTACACCTCTCTTCAGTCAGTTGTACGACTTCGCCCTCAGACCTTGGGTAGCTGCTTTTAGTCTGATCGTTCTCCAATCGACCTGCC